TAGGCTGCCCACCGAAGTTCCTCACCATGATCGTCCAGCTTCATGAAGACCAGCTTGGACAAGTCAGACATAGCAACAATCTCTCGCAGCCCTTCCCTATTGCAAACGGCGTGAAACAGGGCTGTGTTCTTGCTCCCACGCTGTTCACCATTTTGTTCAGCATGATGCTCCAGCAGGTCACAGAGGACCTCGACGACGCTGATGGCGTATACATCCGTTTTCGTCTCGACGGGAGCGTGTTCAACCTGAGGCGTTTGCAGGCCCACACAAAGGCCATGGAGCAACTGATCAGGGAGCTGCTTTTTGCTGACGATGCCGCCCTCCTTGCTCATACAGAGGCAGCTATGCAGCGAATTACGTCCTGTTTCGCGAAAACAGCTCAGATCTTCGGCCTTGAAGTCAGCCTGAGGAAGACTGAAGTTCTTCATCAGTCCGCACCCCACGAGGAGCACCATCCACCAAGCATCTTCATTGAACAAACAAAACTGAAAGCTGTCCACCAGTTCAGCTACCTGGGGTGCGTCATCTCGTCTGACGCCAAGATCAACAACGAAGTCGACAACAGGCTGGCCAAGGCAAACAGTGCATTTGGCAGACTATACAAACGTGTCTGGAACAACAGAAACCTTAAAAGAGCCACAAAGGTCAACGTCTACAAAGCTGTTGTGTTGACCACTCTCCTGTATGGCGCTGAGTCCTGGGTCACGTACCATCGTCACCTGAGTCTCCTCGAGCGTTTCCATCAGCGCTGCCTCCGCACAATCTTCCATATTCACTGGAGTGACTTCATCGCCAACACTGAAGTCCTCAAGTCAGCGAAGGTCATCAGCATCGAGGCCATGGTTCTCAAGACACAGCTTCGTTGGGCAGGGCACATCGCCAGGATGGAGAACCACCGCTTACCTAAGATTGTGCTGTATGGGGAACTGTCCTCTGGCCATCGTGACATAGGGGCACCACGAAAGCGATACAAAGACTCCCTGAAGAAGTCCCTCACTGCTTGCTGCATCGATCACCGTCAGTGGGCAACACAAGCAGCTGATCGCAACTCCTGGCGGCACACAGTCCACCAGGCCACCTCCTTCTTCGAAGATACCCGCAGGGCCCGTATGGAGGACAAAAGGAGAAGGAGGAAGAACCATGATCCCTCAGCACCCATCCCAGATGAGACCTACACTTGCAGCTGTTGTGGCAGGACCTGCTTGTCCCGCATAGGCCTCTTCAGCCACCAGCGTGCCTGCAGAAGACGTGGATGTCCTTCCTAGATCTTCGTTCGCGAAGCCAAGCCATGATGATGATCACCACGTATTCATAGTGTAGCTGTTTTTGTAAATGGTTGTAATTCATTTTCAATATATGTTTTTATTTAGGCTTTAGTTTGTGAGAATATGGATTGCATTTATTTCCACTGAGTCGAATATCATTTCATAGCCTACAAAAGCTAGGCATATTAGTCTAGTCTTCATATGGCAGGATGGAAATGCAAACGTGTTACGGTGGAATGCTACGTTTTTACAACCAATCCAAGGAGGCAGTAGAAGCTGTATGAATAGCCTTGATGATTAGTCTAGTGATTCATCTCGTGCAGAATATATACATTGATCCTGTAAGGTGTTGATAGAAATTGGTTTTAAAGATTATCTTAATGATAATCATCTCAAAAGCCACACGTAATGAGTAATGTCCAGCCTTCAAAAAGTAGCGACCTATTTGCGTATTTTTACCAGCTTTAATTTAATTTATAAAGATGCACCACTACAGATTTGTTTGACCATACAACTACAAAAATACACAGATAACGTTTGGTATTTAAATGCAGCACATACATTTCAGACTGATGGTCACAAAATGCATCAGTTGGTATTACCATTATTTTGTTAGTTGGATGAATGCAACAATTCGACTGATTATTCACTGTGGAACAAACATGTTTCGTTATTTCCTAATTGCGTATGCCTCCAAAGTACCGAAAAGGCCTATTATTCCCCACAAACTTTGCTTTTGTGACCAGGACACAAAAGCAAAGTTAATAATCCACTCCATTAATAAAACTGTGTAACAAAAAAATTTTTGTTCCTGGGTAGTAAGTGTTATTTCCTAATTGCGTATGCCTCAAAAGTACCGAAAAGGCCTATTATTCCCCACAAACTTTGCTTTTGTGACCAGGACACAAAAGCAAAGTTAATAATCCACTCCATTAATAAAACTGTGTAACAAAAACAAATTTTGTTCCTGGGTAGTAAGTGTTATTTTCTAATTGCGTATGCCTCAAAAGTACAGAAAATGGATATTATTCCCCACAAACTTTGCTTTTATGACCAGGACAGTGATATTTTTTTATTTACCTATGTTTAAATAGAAAACGTGTACATTTGTGTCTTTCGTTCACGTAAAGTCCTGGTCACAAAAGCAAAGTTTGTGGAGAATAATATCTAATTTCTATACTTTTTAGGCATAAGCAATTCAAAAATAACACTTAGTACCTAGGAACAAAATTGGGTTACATAGTGATATGTGGTACAAGAAACCATATGCTCAACGTGGATTTGTTGAACGCCTGTTTCGGCGATACACGGTTTACTGTGAGGTCCGTTTTCCAGAACACGACAGTGTTGTTTCGACTATACGCGGATTGGCGCTGCTCAGATTCTCACCTCCGCATCGAAAATCAGTGCCACGAGAGTGCTGCGTCCATTGGAAGGTGTGAATAAATCGACTGCGAGAACGATTTATTTACCATGTATGTTTTTGCGTATATTTTTTGTGTGCATGTTTTTGTATGTAAATGTAACACGTTCAACACGCACAACGCAATGGTCACACATTGCAGCATGCATCAAGCCAAGCCATCCACTCGTTGTGGACGTCAGCCAGACGGCCACCTCGATGGTGAATCATCATCAACACGTTCAAGTGGCAGGGTCAGGGGCGAGCGTCGGGCGTGAAAGTGCCGCGGTGCGGGAAGAGGGATGGAGATGGCGGTTTTGTGTTGTGCTCAAATTGAAAAATAAAGCGTGTACACATACACAATAAATGGGGAGCGACTCAGCCTCCTTGATCACAGTAACAAGTGCGGAAATCGTGTACAATTAAATCTTGACTTAAAGCTTTCGTGACTGCAGGAATTCTTATTCTTTGGGTCTTTCGGTAAAGTCACGTAGATAGGTTGAAAGAAAATAACAAAAATACTTCGACGTTTCGATCACAAATTTTTTTTTCCCTCCTGATGACTATCGCTTGTGTTGTGATCGAAACGTCATAGTTTTTGTTATTGTCTTTCAACCTATCTACGTGACTTTACCGAAAGACCCAAAGAACATGTACAATTAGTTTAAACAAAGAGGGAGGTGTTAATACTGGTAGGAACCTCCTGGTTACACCAGCCCACAGGGGATTATTGTGTCCGTCGTGCAGGGATGGGCTGGGTGGGGAGGGGCTGGGTGGGGAGGGTGGGGCTGGGTGGGGGGTGGGAGGAGTGGGGCTGGGTGGGGAGGAGCTGGTCACCCCGTGGTTGCCTTTTAAAACTCAACGTTTAACCTACTCACGCCAGCTTGTGCCCGTCCTCACAGTCGGCCATATTTGCTGAATACACCACGCTGCCGTTGACCCTGCAGGCCATTGACCGAGCAACCCAACGTTCCTACCAGCTCCCTCCGCAGGAATGCGTTAATTTCGGACCCAATAACACAACCCTATTTTCCCATAAGGTCTATTATTTGTCGAATGCGGTTTTGCCCAACATGTTTTCTTCCAGGAACGTAACATTCCCCCCCCCCCCCCCGCCGTTCAGTGAGGTATATCTGATAATATGATGTTTATTTAATAAGCGTCACCATACCGAAATGTGCAAGTTTTTCTGTAAAGTATAAGCCCACTGTGCACTTTCAATATAATTTTTGGTAAAACAGAAAATGGCCAGTGAAGTGTTTACACAACACTGCTAATGGGTCTATTGTAAACACAGAATGTTCAAATTATATGTGAACAATCAACATTACTAGCCGTGGTAATAAAAAAAAAATGTGTCAACAAATCTTGACAGAGGCATCGAATCATTACATTACGGTAATGGTAATAATAATTGCGTTTTGTTTGCTCACTGCTCATCATGTATATGTAGACTTTTCAAGAAACAATGATTGGATTCGAATGTTGATTTTCTATGCTTCCTTATCAAACAAAACATTCTACAAAGAAGTTGTTTGGTACATGAGGAACACGTATTTCTTCTATACATGGTCAAGATGCACCCCTTTGCAATATCTTGTTACACGTCACACTGCTTGGCAGAAGGGTCTCCAGTTTAAGGCGCTTTCGAGAGTCCCTCTACAGGTACTTTTGGCCTACTCTTCCATGCTGGTTATGTGTCTTGGAATAGCTGAGAGGACCCACACTTTTCTCCACCATACGCAATCTGTTGTGTTGACAAAATTGCGGTGTACCTATTTATAACTTTGAGTGGCGGGGTGTTAGGGGATTTAAGAGACTTGCAACATTGTGTGTCAGGTGGCGCTGCACAGGATTGAGAATCCAGTGTGCTCACTATGATACCACTGCAGCACCCCTATTTTCTGCTATAATCAAGGCAAAATCATCAAGGCCATTATGTGGGGTTTTTTTCAGTTTCATAACATCAGCCCAATCATTCACTCGTGGCAGGATGATTTCATAAAACGTGGGGTGCAATGTTCCATTCCATTTCTCTCCGGCATTTTTAAATTGCCTTGTCTCCCAGTAAAATAATGTCATTGAAATCAACCAAAAATAACATAAAACGCAACACATCTTCAGGATTGAGAAAACATTTTTTTTTAAAACACCGAGACACAACAGAAACATCTGGTGCATATAATGGAATTTTAAAAACATTCCCCCGGAGTGATTTCACACCAAACAGAATAATTCATGGGGCAGGCAATGGAAAGGGAGAGTCTGGGGGGGGGGGGCAGTGGGGGTAGTGGGGGGCAATGATAATGATGACGATGATTGGGAACACTCACGTCTCGGAACTGCACGAGGCCAAGCTCGCCCAGCTCGCTCACGCAGCTGTAGGCAGCCTCGCTCTGCAGGAACAGCTGCGCCAGGCACATCTCCTCGCTCCGGAACAGGGAACCCATGCTGACGTCTTGATATTTTTTGCGTGTCAAAAAAAATTGGTATGTTCTTTTTAATTCCTACGAATATAACAACCGCCGAGGAACTCCCTCCGAAGAGACTGCCGCTGCTGCTTCTGCAGTGGCTCGTGAGTCAGACGGCGCGACGAGGTGTGAATCTCGTGTAAGCGAGCCTCCAAAACAAAGTGAGCCTTGGAGAAATAACAGCACGAGCAAAGCGAACGAGGCATCAAACACTGGCACGGCACTCGGATAACTGTGCTCGATCCACGTGCCTCTGCTTGAGTGCACTGTTCAAAGTTCACGCTCGGAAGTGAACAGTGATCCATTAGCCAACCGCGCGCACCATATTACACAATGACAGGAGATGATGGCAGTGAGTAGCACAATGCTAAAAATGGTCCGATTACTGCTCCATCAGCACTTGGGAAGCGGGTGTGAATCTTGCCCAGACTCGTGGCAACTCTTCCCTTCAACCGTAGCAAAAAAAACGTCGGTATCGCAGACTACAGTTTAAGCTGTAGGCAAGCGAATCGAGTGTTACATCGTGCCCAGATCCCATTTAAACCAGTCAACGAGCACTGGTTTGTTTGTACTGAATGGGAAAAGGCAATTCGGTTCAACGATTGTTGACCGTGGTGATTCAGATTACCCAGTTTGGCCTCACATTCTCAAGTAACACCATAATGCAGGCTTCCCTAAACCTTACACTTATTAACTGTCACCTTGTCATGTTTATCAAACCACGTGTGCGTGTGGATTTCAATGGACAATTACGTTTGAATTGGGAATCAGTAAAACACGACGAAGACTGGTGCTTTAAATCCCCTAACAAATGAATGCTGTATCGTGTGCAAATATGTAGCATTGTCGCTGAGATGCCCAGGTATGTATGAACAATTCCACAGTATATTCTTTGCCACACGTGGACTTGATTACCATTAGAACGGGTAATACATCAGTAAGGCCATGTAGGCAACCGAGCATTTGTGCCCACGAGCAAACATCATCCCAGTGTGTTTTCCCGATAACCGTATGCATTTACAGGGGAAAAAAAAGAATGTATATTCAATGATTAGTAGACGTAAAAAAATTTAATGTCACACTTGCAGACACTCTATTAGAAAGTCCCGAAGTTACCGTGTACACATTTCACAAATGTATTTTATAGCGTTATCTTACTGGTGTTAACTTTAATGGCATTTATAAAGTAAAAAATGCTTACGTGTGATGAATTTACCCCAGTCGATCGGGTACGTTCAAGATAATGCAGACATCTGCCACAAGTTTATAAAGTCATTGCAAAAGCATCCAGTAAATGTAACTGCTGATTTGCCGTTCCAGAACAGAAGTGGTAATTACATTGTTAAATTAAGCAATATGTTTACGTTTTATAGGCATGTCATAAAGGTTATATAACATGAAATAATCCTGACTGTTGTCAGATTATAATAAAATATGAAACAAAGTTAAGTATCATGTTCAAACCTTCTGATAGAATAATCAAACGTTTGGTGGCTGTGGCTTGTATTGTATTGTTCTGCTAGTATTGTGTTGTTTTGTTTGTATTGTTTTGCTTATATTCATTGGTTTAACGTTTACTCAAAGTAGACAAAATAGACATTTACTCAACGTCTTCCAGATGTATAACCAACTACTTAGGAGCCAATTGTGTCAATAAAATGGTGCACCAAATATATCTCCATCTGGAGCTGGACTGTTTAATGAGGTCTCACCAACAACCATGATGTTTGAGATTGATTTAACTCGTCAGAAGGTTAGAAATCCTTCCGCTTTCTTTACGTGAAATATGCTGCCGTATCTTGACTTTGTAGTTTATTTTAATTGAGAAGAAAATGGGGGGGGGGGGGGGGTCAACCTAACTACTACAACATAATGTTTAATTACACTGTGTAACATTTTTTTTGTTACTGGGTAGTAAGTGTTATTTCCTGATTGGTTATGCCTCAAAAGTACAGACAATTGCTATTTTTACACGCTTTTATTTAACTCACTCTGTTGTTGTCGTTGTTGTTGTCGTTGTCGTATTCTCAATTCTTGTAACTCAATTTTTACCCACTTCCCAATGTGGTATCGACTGCAAACTTCGTATACTTATGTCTTACTGATGAAGACACTATATTCTATCTAAAAAAATAAATAATATATATTTAAACAATCTTTTTACACGCTTTCTATTAACTCATTCTGTCTGTTGTTGTTGTCGTATTCTCAAATCTTGTAACTCAATTTTAACCCACTTCCCAATATGGTATCGACTGAAAACGTGGTATACTTATGTCATACTGATGACAATACTATATTCTATCATTAAAATAAAAATAAATATTTTAAAGCCATCTTTTTACAGTATATGTTATGTTTCACCTTGGCTCTAATTGTCCACGCTCAACTCACGTTTTGCTGTAAATCACCACGGTCCCTTACGTTATGGCAAGCCTCGGGGTCACTTCCTGGAGTTGTGGGGTTCTGCCATTTCTCGTACGGTACATTTCATTAAAACTCTTTTTTTAAAGTATTTTTTTAAATATTACTTATTCCCCACAAGCTTTGCTTTTGTGACCTGGACAGTTATATTTTAACATTTACCTATTTTTCAGAACATTCCATATATATTCAGTGCAGAGTAAACTTGGAATAACTTATAGAACATTCTAGAAATTTCCAGTAATATAAATAGTAGTATAAATACAGGGGCTTGAAGCCCACCCGTTCAGTTTAGTTCCAGCTGCCTCATTGGATACATATCTGCATTTTTCTGAGATGGCATCAAGAGGCTGCAAGCATCCGGCAGACGCATTTTGCTACGTCAATTTATCAAGACAAGAGCGAAAAAGTACTCTTTGGAAGCATCTATTAAGATGTGTGAGGCCTACAAGGCATATTTCGGCATGCCTGTCGGGGATCAAGACAAACCCTGGGCACCTAATTTCACGTGCAAGCAACACAAAGAAACTCTGGAAGGTAAGATGGACAATTGTTGCTCAGAATTTTATGTTATAAAATTTGTCACAATTTTTTAAATTGTAAAAGTTTCGAATATTAAAATGTTTAGCAATTTTCAATGTTATTGAAAAAACATATCATGTATGAAAAATGTTGCGAGAATCTCTTACACATTAGTCATGGGTGAAATGAATGTATTTTTGAAGGATGGTAACGAGGGGAAAAGAGAGCCATGAAGTTCGCTATCCCAAGAATTTGGCAGGAACCCACTGACCACTCAAGCAAATGCTACTTCTGCATGGTGGACCCTTCCAAACTTCGGACTGGCAAGAATGCACCTGCTATCACGTATCCGGACCTTCCTTCATCCATCGCCACGGTGCCACACTGCCATGAGCTCCCCGTACCCACTCCTCCGGAGAAAGAACAGCCGTCTTTAGCAAAGATCAGCAAGTCAGAGAGCATGGAAGACATTGTAGATCCAGATGACAATTTCAGAGGTGGAGCTGAGGAGAGAAACCCATACTACCCCAACCAAAAATACCTTAACGACTTGAACAGAGCTCTTGGTCTCACCAAGTCCAATGCAGAGCTTTTGACGTCTCGGCTCAAGCAGTGGAACTCGTTGGATAAAAGTGTGAAAGTCACAGATCAGAGGAAGCGTCACTAACCTTTTTGCAGCTTCTGCCACAATGTGAGCAGTCTGTTCGAGGCAATCGGAATCGCCTGTAACCAGAATGAGTGGCGCCTCTTCATTAACAGCTCATCCAGGAGCCTCAAAGCTGTGCTGATCCATAATGGTAACAAGTACCCATCTCTTCCTCTGGCTCACTCGGTGCACTTGAAGAGGATTACAACAGCATCAATACCTTGCTGGACGCCTTGAAGTATGATGAGTATGGCTCCGAGGTCATCGGAGACTTCAAAATGGTGGCATTCCTGATGGGTCTCCAAGGCGGTTTTACCAAGTTTCCCTGCTATCTTTGCCTTTGGAACAGCAGGGACACCAAGGCGCACTACCACAGGCGGGACTGGCCACAGCGGACCGAGTTCTCTGTGGGGAGGAACAACGTCAAGTGGGAGCCACTGATGGACCCCCGGAAGGTGCTGATGCCACCACTGCACATCAAATTGGCCCTTATGAAACAATTTGTCAGAGCTGTAGATAAGGAGTCGGCAGCCTTAAAGTACCTTCAAGACATCTTTCCTAAGCTGTCTGAGGCAAAGGTCAAAGCCGGTTTCTTCGTCAGACCACAGATAAAGAAGATTCTGGAGTGCAATGAATTCTCCAAGAAGCTCACTAGTAAGGAGAAAGTGGCTAGGAACAGTTTTGTCGCAGTGGTTCGTGGCTTCCTGGGCAATCACAAGGTCGAAAAGTATGTTGAGCTGGTTGAGACTCGAGTGAAGAACTACGGCACAATGGGCTGTAGGATGTCCCTCAAAGTCCATATCCTTGATGGTCATCTTGATTAATTCTAGGAGAACAAAGGAGAATACTTGGAGGAGCAAGGCGAGCGCTTTCACCAGGATGTAGTGGACTTTGAACGCCACTACCAAGGACAGTATATCGAGGACATGATGGGAGACTACATTTGGGGGCTGATTCGTGAAAGTGATTTAAGCATAATCGTAAATCTCGACAAACTACTCACTTCTACATATTTTGTAGTCATTCTTGTGTTACTTTAGTATGAATACATGTTAATTTTGATTCACATGTTTTTTTTCTGACTTTATGTGAACGAAAAGACACAAATTCGCCCGTTTTCTCTTTGAAAATAGGTACATTTTAAAATATCACTGTCCTGGTCACAAAAGCAAAGTTTTTGAGGAATAATAGCCATTTTCTATACTTTTTAGGCATAAGCAATTATAAAATAACACTTACTACCCAGGAATAAAAATTGTGTTACATCGTGTTATTCTACATAAGCGCCGAGAGTTTAGCACAGTGATGTAGTGGTATAATGATTGATGCGCTGTGCCGTGAACCCAGCGACCCGAGTTCCATTCCCAGACACCACTAGCAGTGAGTGACCAGTGAAATCAGAAATGGTCCTGCCCTCCCACATTCAGCACCCCACACTGACCAGCCTGGCATATGGCCAAAAAAAACTATAACTAACATGGCGTGGGGTTGTCTTCGTTCAATGGTGGATTGAGAATGGTTGTAATTGATTTTATTTAAGCATTGAAAACAGGAGAAATTGAAAGGATCCAGTTCCCACACTCATCTTAATCCAGATATGTTTAGCTGAGCTCCAAGGTCAGGTGTGGCCATACAATTAGAGCAGGTTATA